TGATCCTGACCTTCTACATGCAAAGCAGTTGTCCCACCTCTCAGCTACAGGCCCTCCCCAGACAATGAACTGTAGTCCCTTTTGTTGCTGCTTTTTGCTAACCTGCATGAGTCATAAGACGCTCCAGAAGCTCCTTAGTCTGATATATTTGATCAAATTTGCCGTGTTGACTTCCCTTCGTTGGACGCATGCTTTTCTTCTTTGCTTCCGCCCCCCCTCCGCCTCCCCAAATGTCATCTGCGAATAGTAACAAAGGATTAATTGTGGAAATGTTTTGGGGGCTTGGCAGGATTGCGCACAAATGAAGTGCTCTTTTGAAACAACGGCTCTGCCTTGCCTTGCAAAGGAAGCAACAATCGCCGAGCCCTCGGCAAGTGCCAGAGGATTAATTTGTTCAACTGCTGCTTCCTCGTTTCCTGTCATTTTCGGCGTGGAGGGTGAAAGTACCGGCAGTGGGGATGAGGAAGGAACTGAGCATTGGAATTTTAATTGCTTGACCGCAATATTATTGTTAATTTTTTTTTTTGTAATTTTCCATACACAAAGAGACCATGGATTATTAATTAGTATGAGATGATTAGAGCCTCTGCCTGAAAGGGGTTGTGGGGTCAGCGATGTGAGTTTTTCAGATGTCGCTTTTAGCCTGCATTTGTCTGTAAGCTTCAGATCAGGGAGAAACTGAGAAACTGAGGAAGTATTTGGAACCCAGATATGCAAGCTAATCTCCAAAGTGCACCTTAAAACTATGTTGCAGTCGCTGCAACAATAATCTCTAGATGCCTTTTTTTGCAATGAAATTTATTTTTTATTATTTGTTTCATTTCTATTCCACTTTTTATTTTAAAGAAAAAACACTTCAAAGCGGTTTACAACTTATTAAAACATCAAATAAAACCACCCAGAATAAAACAAATTCAAGCTTCAAGAAAAAATATTTCAGGTCCTTCTCTAAGTGACCTTTTGCTTTCGCCATGTTTGTTTACCAACTTAATTTATAGAGCTGCCCCATTGCAGGAGTGCTCCAGGAAGCCAGGGTGGTGTAGTGGTTAGAGTGTCGGACTAGAAGCTGGGAGATCAGGGTTCAAATCCCCCACTCAGTCATGAAGCTCACTGGCCATAGCCTCTTAGCCTACTTCACAGGGTCGGTGTAGGGATTCACTGAGGAATGGGGGTGAACCATAGACTCCTTGGAGAAAAAGATGGAATATAAATGCAGTAAATAATGTCTTCTGCTTACTTGCTTAAGAAAGTAAGCCGGCCAGATGCAGATGCTCAGAGATCTCCATCTGGTTGCAAGTGGAGCCACACAAGTCGCAAAACGTGCCTGGCTAATTTCTAACACTGGTTAGGTCTAACCAACCTTGGTGCCCTCCAGATGTTTCTGGAGTACACCTCTTGCACAACTCCATGCTGGCTGGGGGAATTTGTAGTCCAAAAAACCCCAAAACCAATGGGGCACCAGGAATGGCAAAGGCTGTGCTAAATCGCAGCTTATTACAAATGATGACCCAATATCCATACAGAGACAAAACAGAGACTGAGGCAGAGTGGGCATTTCCTAATACAGTGGTACCTCTGGTTACGAACTTAATTTGTTCCGGAGGTCCGTTCTTAACCTGAAACTGTTCTTAACCTGAGGTACCACTTTAGCTAACAGGGCCTCCCGCTGCTACCACACGATTTCTGTTCTTATCCTGAGGTAAAGTTCTTAACCTGAGGTACCACTTCCGGGTTAGCGGAGTGTGTAACCCGAAGTGTTTGTAACCCGAGGTGTTTGTAACCCGAGATACCAATGTACGGTTGGCTGTTGAAACACTTGGTGTAATAGACAATAACGGATCCTGCCCGCTTGATAAACTTTATTGAACTTCTTTGAAAGCCACAATGCATCCTGTTCTGACCAGGACAAGAGGCCAGCTAATATGAAACTGAAACGTGGCCATCAATACCTGTCTGCATGTGGGATTTGTAGTACAGAATTTGGACTTTTAAAGCAGGAAGTGCAAGGAGGGAGGGCAATTGGGGCTTCTCATAACCAACCTCCCAGCCTTGCACCTTCAGATGGGCTGTAAAAATGCAAAGTTCATACGACAGATGTTATCATTATTTGCTGCTCTTTCATGCTTTTGACCCAGCTGGAATTTGGAGACACCAGACTCACTCTGGTGTATCATGCTTCCTGTGTAAGACCAAAACGTCCTTTTACCAGGTGTGCAATTATAACTTCCAACACATCGAAGGCAAAAATGATCTTCTGGGACGCCATCTTCCTGTTTTTTTCTGACGAGAGGATGGCCATTTTGGGCCCTGTGATCTCACACAATTTCTCACCGTGATCCCCTCCCTTTGAAAAAAGCATTTTATCAGGCACAGCGCCTGATAACACGTGTTTTGGGGCACTGTGCAAGATCACAGCCTCCCCCAGTACTTTTTCGGGGTGAAATCGGAGCATGAAATCACATGAGAGCACAGCGCCCAAAATGGCTGCCATCTTCTCATGAGAAAAAAATGGGATGCCCTTCTTTTTTCCAGGACACTTTCGGGCTATGGTGTAACATAAAGCATTTAAAGCCATAGGTAGATATAGAAGCTTCAAGTTCAGAGAGGCAGTTGGAGTACAATGAATAAAAATAGCTTTATAGAAAATCAGGTTGCTTGGACTTCAAATTATAAAAGAAACAGGAATGTATTTCTGAAAAATTCTGTACCCTTCGGGAAGATGTTAGGATCATTCACCGCTGGCTACTGCCAGGTCTTCAGAGTCTGAAAAGGCTTGAAGGTATTTATAGGAATACTAGGAATATGTGCTGGAGATGTCAGACAGTAAAAGCAGATATGGCCCCTATTTTCTGGTTTTGTCCCAAAATAAGATATTTGGTATAGACATAATAAACAAAATTGAAATTATAACAGGTTATCAATTATTATTAGTCCCCTTGATTGTATTGTCCAGTTTTGTAAAGCACACAGTGTTAACTGAAGGCATCACAATGTGAACACATCTCTTAACTGCTTCTCGAATGTTGATTACTGCAAATTGGAAGAAAATAAGAACTCCCAACAATTGATGACTGGATTGTGCACTTATGAGAAATTGTACATGTTTAAATTGACAAATATAGTAAGGATGAAGGAAAGAAGGCAGCAGAATAATATTTTAATAGAGAAATAGAGTAGTTTTGTGATATATCGGAGCAACAGAACTCCAGAAAATGCACAACCCTATGCACTATTGGAATTGTGGTAGCACAATTCAATTGATTTTATGGTTATTCAAATTTGCACTCCTCTGAATTTTGCGTTGTGGTTTTCCTGCCCAAAAAAGTATATAATCTAAGCGCACACAAAAATCAATACATTAGTGATTAGTAGCATACAAAAATGTATCATATTCAAGGGAATGGCTCGCACAAAAAAAGCCTATTATTGAGCAAAATGTCACCAAAAAAATCCTTGCCAGTTTTCATGCAGGCTTTGCTTTTTAAAAAAATAAATAAATTGCAAATTGATGTTCAATTGGGATATGCTGCATTTAAGAATTGAGAAATGAGAAACAGAAGCTGGGACTTGGCAGGGCGATGTGGAAGGATGTTTTACTCTTGTTGACAATGTCCTGGGAACTGCATTCACATCTGAATGTTCCAGCCTGTTGTTTAGTTTTCAGTCTGAGTTGCTCTCTCTGGCTTTGGTCTCCCATCTCATCCCCTCTTCTGCATTTTAAAGAGCTTAGCTCAAGTTGCTCCACGAAGCATTAAGCTTTGCAAGGCCAGAAGTAGGTCTGCCTTGTAGTTGCATGGTGACTGTTCTTAAGAACGGTCAAAGCATGTCCGGCTTTGATTGACTTGTAGGAAAAGCGATTCTTGCCTCTTTAAAACTGTTGCTAAGTCGACACAATGTAAAAACAATTAGCAAACTGAGTTTGGTGTATGTATGTTTGTGCATAATGTTAACTCTGGACGTGTGTCTTCAATTCTGACCAAACTATGCTTCCTAGAGTAAAATATACACAGGAGGCTACAAACAAACAAACAGCCTCCTGTGTTTATTTTGATCTAGGAGGCATAGTTCAAGTACAGTCATACCTTGGTTGTCGAACGCCTTGGTACTCGTATGTTTTGGCTCCCGAACAATCAAAACCCAGAAGTGAGTGTTCCAGTTTTTGAACTTTTTTTGGAAGCTGAATGTCCGACGGGGCTTCCGCAGCTTCCGATTGGCTGCAGGAGCTTCCCACAGCCAATCAGAAGCTGCGCTTTGGTTTCCATATGCTTTGGAAGTTGAACGGATTTCCAGAACGGATTCCGTTTGATCTCCGACTGTACAGTGGTACCTCGGGTTAAGTACTTAATTCGTTCCAGAGGTCCGTACTTAACCTGAAACTGTTCTTAACCTGAAGCACCACTTTAGCTAATGGGGCCTCCTGCTGCCGTGCCGCCGGAGCACGATTTCTGTTCTCATCCTGAAGCAAAGTTCTTAACCTGAGGCACTATTTCTGGGTTAGCGGAGTCTGTAACCTGAAGCGTATGTAACCTGAAGCGTATGTAACCTGAGGTACCACTGTATACACTTCCAGAGTTAATGCTAAATACATTATTTCTGGTAAATGAGCCACCATAGCTGCTGGAGAGGGATGTGACAATTTGTGTCTCTCGGGCTTTTTAGACTCTTTTGCCCATGTACTACTGAAACGAAAGGGACACATGGGTTGCCAGATGCGAAATGTATTAGTTATTTTCAGCTCCCCTACTCCACTCTACGTCATTGTGCACTCCTTGTCAAGTGTGCCTTAACGTTTGTCTCGACTGGGATGAATTTGACCCTGAATGTTGGGTGAGGAAGTATCTTGAGGGGCTAAACAGAGGAGGGTCATCCAGGCCAATGGAGGTAGCAGGGCACCACATGAGTTACTCATGGTCTAGTGCTTCAGCAAAGGAGTGTTTGGCTCTCGGAACATTTTTTCGCTTACTCACCCTTCATTCTTCTCCTTTGCTTCTTTGCTACAGTGAAGTACATGAGGGAAGCCACCCCCTACGTCAAGAAAGGGTCTCCGGTTTCCGAAATCGGCTGGGAGACGCCCCCACCCGAATCTCCACGGCTGGGGAACGCGGCCACCGACCCCCTGTCGCAGCTGTCCCTCTCCATCCACAGAGACAAGAAGACGATCCCGCTCAAAATGTGCTACGTTACGCGGAACATGGCCGTGTCGGACCCAGAAAACAGGTAATGGGGGTTGCCGGGGAAGTTGGCGGGGCAGGGGGAAGGTGTTTGACCTTTGGAGAGGGGCGGGGGGGGGAGAGATAATATGCACTTACGCAAAATCGACAGATCAAAAGAAGCACCAACCTCTTCAACCGGGGGCTGAGCCACACTTCTCTTTCTTCCGTGATTTATTCCATTTGTCTTTTGATTTCTAGTCACAGGTCCGAGAGGATTTAGTTCCGTCCCGCTGCTTTCTTTGGGAAAGCCCACAATGTACTGCTGAATCGGAACAAAGGTCAATGCGCAAGAAACGCGATTGACATTTTTTCTGATTCAGTGGTAAGCAGTGGGTTTTCCGGGGGGGGAAATCCATGGAACGAAACAAGAACCTCTTGGACCCACGACTAGAATTCATGGGATAAACAGAAGTTTGGATGATCCCTATATAAAATAAAATAAAATAATAATAATAATAATAATAATAATAATACATATACATATACATTTACAAATCATTACACCATTATTATTATTATTATTATTATTATTATTATTATTATATACTAATACTAATAATAATAATATCTGTGTGTGTGTCCAGAATTCATAGAAAGTCAGGTACATCCAAATCAACCTTATGGAATGTATTTGTGGCTCTACAAATACTCCATTTTGAATATTAATTTTTAATTAGCTGATTTATTGATACTTATTCATAGATATACAAAAATGCACGCCCATTGCAAAGTATCTTTTTACAATATACTAAGAAAGACAACTACTTAGTCTAGACAAAGAAACAAAGTACAACAAATCACAGAATCGTAGAGTTGGAAGGGAACCCTGCGGTCATCTAGTCCAACGATGCAGGAATCTCAGCCAAAGCATCCATGACAGATGACCATCTGGTTGGCCGCTATGAGAACAGGATGCTGGACTCAATGGGCAACTTACCTGATCCAGCCGGCTGTTCTTGCTCACACGTGGAAGTCTATACACCAGATCTTTGTTCTAGGCCAGGCATCCCCAACCTTCAGCCCTCCAGATGTTTTGGACTACAATTCCCATCATCCCTGACCACTGGTCCTGTTAGCTAGGGATCATGGGAGTTGTAGGCCAAAACATCTGGAGGGCCGCAGGTTGGGGATGCCAGTTCTAGGCCTTATATAAGAATTCACACAATTCTAGTGTGCTAACGAGTGGGTGTGATTTCTGCTGACTGAAGTGATTCAGATGAACACATTTTACCAGATTATCTTAATTGGGTGAAAATTCCCATGTTGTCATCCTGTAACAACCCCACTGTTCAGGAATCTCTTGGGTGTTCTGCAAAGACTTTGCCATGCAACAGGTTTGGCAAGCTTTTTTTTTTGGCTCAGATCGGGAAAGAGTACGAGCAAATATACCGTACATCTTAAAACTATCCCTAGCCTTTTCAAAGCTGGGCAACTTTCTTATGACTCACTGAAGGATGCTTCCAACATCCCTTTTTTCTTACACAGATAATATTTCTAAGTGGGGTCAGGGGCAGGGAGAATGCATGCCACAGCTACATCATCATGCAACCGCGTTTGTTTCACTATGAACGCATAAGAGGATCTCTGCTGGTTCGGAAAAAAAAGACCACGTAGAGCAGCCTTCAGCTCTCACAGTGATCATGAGAAACCCACAGAGAACACAAGCATATCTGGTACATTTACAGGGAATATAGTTTACCCAGCCCTGCCTTATCCCCAGAAGCACCACACCCAAAGTAATACAATGGTACCTCGGGTTAAGAACTTAATTCATTCTGGAGGTCCGTTCTTAACCTGAAATTCTTAACCTGAGATACAACTTTAGCTAATGGGGCCTCCCGCTGCCGCCGCGCCACCACTGCATGATTTCTGTTCTCATCCTGAAGCAAAGTTCTTAACCCGAGGTACTATTTCTGGGTTAGTGGAGTCTGTAACCTGAAGCGTCTGTAACCTGAGGTACCACTGTAATGGTACCCATGATGCTCCTATAAATCACCTGACTGGGTCATACTTGAAGCTTCTCCAGGCCAGCTGATCTGCTGTTGAAATTGTTTGACGCTGCTGTAGATCATAGGCCAGCTGATTGCTTGGTGTTGCCGTGGGTCAGCTACCTACATTACCGCATTACAAGAGAATTCTGGAAAGAAAGAACGTTACGTTTTAGGCAAATTCCTTTTCTATGCAGTGAAACTAGCCGTTTGTGCAGTGCATTGCGCTTCCGGCAATGAAGCCTGCATTCAGCAAACTGGCTGAGCCGGGAAGATGCCACGGCATGATTGCAAACATTCCAACTGCATGTGGAAGGACGTTGCTAACATTAAGTTTGGGAGGAGAGGATTGCGCTGTGTTGTATGGAAGTGGTGGTGGGGGATGAGACAGGAGCAGGTGGTTAAAGGAATTCGCGGATGGGGAGAAAGAACGTGATGGGGTAAAAAGCAAGGATCTGAAGCAGGAGTAGGAAACCTAAGGCTCATGGGCCACAAGCGGCCCACGGGGGTCGTTTAACCGGCCCCCGAGCTGCCCCTGAACCGAGATGCCCGCTTGGCGAGTCCCTGCGCGCTGCACTAAATTTCTGCGGTGCCAGAAATCACGTCTGTGCAGATGCTGGAAATCGTGGCCGTGCGAACGCATGCGCGATCCAGCCAATGGAGGGATCTCCCCTGGAGTGAACTGGCCCAGGCGAGGTAAACCTTGCCAACCCCTGATCTGAAGCAACAATGGGAGATGGAGAAATGGAAGATGGATCAGGAGCTAAAACTGAAGGTGGTTTGCAAGAGAATCTCATCTAGGGTTTTGAGACAGGAGTAGGGTACCTCTAGAAAGGAAACGGGCGAGGGGAGAAGGCCCTAGGGCAGGCATAGGCAAACTTGGCCCTCCAGGTGTTTTGGGACTACAACTTCCATCATCCCTGACCACTGGTCCTGCTAGCTAGGGATGATGGGAGTTGTAGTCCCAAAACATCTGGAGGGCCGAGTTTTGCCTATGCCTGCCCTAGGGTTACAAGATGTAGAGTCTTGATAAGGCAGAGGGGCTAAAATCCTCGTATTATTTTGAATCGCCTTGGCTTGGGAACCTTCTGCTCACAAGGGAAGTGAGAAAGGCAAAACGGCACACGGGACTTCCATGGTCCTTTGCTTCCTGGCGCTAAAAATAGGGCGAGCTTGTTGGTCCCTATTTTAAACATATGTGGAACCAGCTGCACCCCAGCACACGGCAGCTCAAGGCCATTGTCTCTCTCGCAGTTGCTAACCAAAAAGAAATGAAAGAAACCAATGAAGTCAGGGGAAGGAGAATATTCACCCCCCCCCATTTCACATCAATGAGCTTTTTGTTCCTACCCAGTACAGAGGCTTTTAAAGAAATTGGCTGCAAGTTCGTTGGCTTTCAACACTTCTCACTCTGAAGGGGGCTTGAAAGCTGAAGTTTTTCAAGTTTAGGGAGAGGGCTAGGAGCATGGAAAGCAGCTGTTCTCGTGACTTCGACAGCGGAACAGCTGGATCTCTCAAATCCTTGCGGAAATCCTTGGCTCAACTGCGGCCACGTCCACACCCTAAATTTAAAACACTGTGATACCATTTTAAACAGCTATCTCCCCCCCACCCCACCCCCCAAAAACCCAAACCTAGAAACTATGGTTTGCGGGAAGAAATGGAGGCAGTGAGAAATTTTACTTTCTTGGGCTCCATGATCACTGCAGATGGTGACAGCAGTCACGAAATTAAAAGACACCTGCTTCTTGGGAGAAAATCGATGAAACACCTAGACAGCATATTAAGAAGCAGAGAAATCACCTTGCCAACAAAGGTCCGTATAGTTAAAGCTATGGTTTTCCCAGTAGTGATGTATGGAAGTGAGAGCAGGACCATAAAGAAGACTGATCACCGAAGAATGGATGCTTTTGAATTATGGTGCTGGAGGAGACTCTTGAGAGTCCCATGGACTGAAAGAAGAACAAACCTCTCCATTCTGAAGGAAATCAGCCCTGAGTGCTCACTGGAAGGACAGATCCTGTAGCTGAGGCCCCAATACTTTGGTCACCTCATGAGAAGAGAAGACTTCCTGGAAAAGACCCTGATGTTGGGAAAGATGGAGGGCACAAGGAGAAGGGGACAACAGAGGACGAGATGGTTGGACAGTGTTCTTGAAGCTACCAGCATGAGTTTGACCAAAGTGTGGGAGGCAGTGGAAGACAGGAGTGCCTGGCGTGCTCTGGTCCAGGGGGTCACGAAGAGTCGGACACAATTAAATGACTAAACAACAACAAAAAGGATGCTGAGAATTGTCAACAGCCCCTTACTCCCCTTACAGAGCTACAGTTGCCAGAGTGGTTTAATAATCAGCCTCTCTTCTGAGAATTGTCCTTACCTGGCCGTTTGCTCCATCCACTGCGGTGGCAAGAACCTCAGAGACTAATTGGATTACAATAAATTGATGATGGTTCCCTCTTCCTCCAATCCATCATTGATGCTATTGCCATGAATGGAGCCAGGCCTGGGCTCTTGGGGCTTCAAAACGGACCATGACTTTCAGACCCTGGGGAAAGAGAGCTTCAATCTCGCTCAGGTGTGAGACAATGCTCTGTTTTAGATAAGAGCTCACACCGTCATGAATAACCTTTGCTATCTGCAGGAAATGAGTAGTTTTGAGTCTCCCACACATTAAAAGAGGGTTTATCAGTTCTTGTGGCGTTTATTTCCTGTGGAAACTCTGAGCTCTCAGTTGACGTTCTCCAGTCAATATCAGACGGTGGTGCGAAACCTTGCTGTATCCTGTATTCCCCCAAATGAGTGGGGAGAAGGTCTTGTGAAAACACTTTAAGAGACCCCCGCAGCTTCTGTAGCTCCTCCAGCCCAAATCAAAACATAACTGCAGCTTATGCGATGTCAACGAGTCTAGTTAAAATATTGGCAGCTCCATTCTCGGTGGAGATTGATGGATGAAATCATTTTCTGTTCAGAAAAAATAAAGAATAAATCAAAACAGGAATTTGTTTCTAAATGGGAG